GGTTTTAAATTTACTTTTAAAATTCTAATTTTAAAATTAGAAATTAACAGTATGATATATTTACCAGAATTCTCATTCTAAGAGCACACTAATTTCTAGTTTATTTATAGAATTTACGCAATTCAGTCCTTCATTAGTAGGACGGTGAATGACAGCCACATGACTAGGTGTTCCTCCTGCAACAATCCTATGCTACTCTATTTGGTTCCTGTTCTATTTGGTCCCAAATATAAATAATCCTTAGTGTGTCATTCATATAATTAGGTTCCAATATCATTTTGATATGACAATTATTAGTGGAATTATGACTGTTTGGATTTTCTGTGAAGCAAATGAAAAGTGAGTAGATATTATCTGGAGCTGCTCCCTACTTCTTACAGACTAATTTGAGTGACTCATCTACAGAGAGAGCAGGAATAGATTAAATGACAAGCTAACTAAATATCAGTACAAATGAATGCAGCTTCTCGCCATCATTTAATGTGGTTGAACCTGAAGACAGTGATATGTTAAAAAAAGACTCTTCTTTTACCTCTTTACCTCCTTAGGTAGAGGAACAGCAAAGTAAAAACACATTAAAAGATTTAGTAATAGATGCAGCATGGTTATGTCTGGCACATGTTGAAGCCTCTTGTTTTTAATTTCCCCTGGAAAGACTTCAGCAATGAGTGAAACACCATTTAGTAGTGTAGATATTAAAATATTTGACACTGTTTAAATTCTTTCTTTTTTTAACCTTTATTCTATCAGATGTTATTTTTAATATTCTCGATATAATTTATTTCTGCGAGGTAAAGATTTAGTTTTTGTTTATTTTACAGATATTCTGGCCTACCTTAAGGAATCTATTTGTTCCAGTTTTTCTAAACTGCTGGCTTGCCAAACATGCATTGGAAAATATGATTGTAAGTAATAAAATCAAAGTAAAAAATAAAAATATTTTTAGCATCCACTATCTTTTACTTATTTTTAATGTCTAAATAGAAAAAGATTATTTGGCCTCTATTCCTTTGCAGTTCCAACTATGTCTATAAATTTACATACCATACAGAATTTGTCCAATTTGAAGGTTATTAAAATTTTAGATATTTTTATTTAAAAATTTTACCATAATTGTCTCAAAAAGTTTTATTTAATGTCTAATGGTAAACTGCTGCTAAGTGCTTAATATACTCTATAGATTACATAATTAATTAATATAGCCAGTTAATATAAGGTAAGTGATTTTTCTCCTATATTCGAATAAGAATGAAAATCTGTAAAATGCTTGCATTCCCTAGGTATTCAAGGCTTCAGTTTTGAAAAGAAAATAGTTGAGGCCGTTTGAATTCATCAATTCAGCACCTAACTGATGTTTACACAGGTCCAAAGGTTTGAGCAGTGTCTCCAAATAGGAGCCTCCTTCAGTTTTAAGGCTATCTGCTCAGGCATACGTGGCTCATAGTTCATAAGCCTCAGCTTTCAAATTACTTAGGAATGTTTTTGTCTACTATTTCAAGTTTCATAAAAATGTGGGGTTTTGTCGGGCCCTTTCAGAACGAGTGCCTCCTCATTTGTGATCATTCTCTTAGACTCAGTTATGGTGAGTCGAGTGGCAGATGTAACTCGGAAAGCTGAGATGGGAAAGACATGAAAAATCCCCAGCTATGCTGTAGTCACCCTCCCCATCCATCCAAGGTTGATGCTCTTTGGAAGGAATCGTTTATACCTATGACCTGAAAGTGTTCGCCACTGTTTTCAGCACTTACAAGCAAGTTGTTAGCCATTGATTAGTCAGCCTATCTTTATTCAAACGCTATTGTGTGTCTGGAATAAGGCACTTTGCTGTGACCAATATCTGATGGAAAGCAGTTTAAGGAAAGGAAGATTTACTTGGTCTACTCTTCCGAGGATTCCAGTGCGCCACAGTATGGAAGGCGTTGCATGGCCACAGGAAAGTTATTTCAACAACTGCCTGGAGTGCTGGGTCGCATCTTGGTTTGGAGTCAGGAAGCAAGGCAGTGGGTAGGAAGTGGGACCCAGATTTACAGCAGGGCCTCACCTCCTAAAGTTCTCACAATCCTCCTAAATACTGCCACCTGCTGAGCACCAAGTGTTCAAATACGTGAGTCTTTGGGGTCATTTTATATTCAAACCATAACATTTTGCCTTTGACCCACATAGGCTCATGACTTGCTCACAAAGCAAAATGTGTTTGTTTCTATTTCAAAAGTCCCTATTTGTTATGTATCTAACAAGGCTCAAAGTCTGAGCTCTTCTAAATTCAAAGGCAATTACTCAATTGTAAGGTGCTAAAAAAGTCAGATTCTTCTAATATACAATTCCAGATTAGTATTTGCATTACCAGTGGGTTATGGCCACAGCAAAGAAACGTTTACCAAAGTAGGACCAAACCTAGCAGGAAAATGTGAAATCCTGAAGCTTTGTGTCCAACACCTAAGGTTTTTGCTATAAATAGCTCAGCTCAAATAGTAGCCCTGATATTAATGGTTACTATTTGTAGAACACATAAGCCCTCTCTCTATCAGGAACCTGGCTACTGCTTTTCTTAGTGGAAACCCAGCTTCTGTCCATCTCCTGCGTTGTGTTTTCTCCTTTTACTTTACTTTTCTGCATTCATTTAGCTTTCTCCATTACTTTTTCTAGAAGTTATTTGGACTTCACTGTTATAGCTACATTTGGTGGCCTCTTGAGGCCACCTTGCAAAGATTCCATTCCTGCCATGCATTTCCTAGCTACACTGGCCATTTAAAACTGGGGTTTGAGATTATGTGATTCCCTCAATCTGACATTTTCATGCTTCCAAAACCAGTAGTGTTTGATGAGGTTTTCAATTTTTGCCTCCTCCAAGCAAGGCAAGCAGCAACTTCACCTGCAGACCCTGCAGAGAGCACTAGTTGACCTTTAGGGTGCTAATCTGTTTAGCAGTTTTAGCTGCTTTTTGGCACCCTTGCTTTCAATTTAAGTTCACTTATTTTACCATCAATTGATACATTAAATTGAAGACATCTTTCTTCTGCAGGTGTTGCTCTTTCTCAATGAAACCTGCATAAGAACAGTTGATTGTAACAATATTGGTCTACTGAAAATTCAGCCTCGCTGAAGTTATCAGGGCATAGGCAGCAAGCTTCTAGATTTGCTTTCTGAATACCACAGCCATGGCCTCCAGCCCTGTTCTCTCTCGAATTATTGTCCTCCTCTGAAGTCTCGTGATCGTCTTCCACCCCACTACCTGGAAAACCCATTAGTTTCTGGTTAAATCATTTTAGAAATTCTCTGGCCCAGAATTCAAAGGTCCCCCACATTGCATTTGTGAACTAGTACAAAGGAATAATATCTATATTATCTGGTTTATAACAGAAACAAACTCACTTCTGAGTACTTTTTTTTTTCTGTTTCTTTTGTTACTATGACCAAACACCTGAAGAAAAGCAAATCATTAAAGAAAGGGTTGGTTTGGTTTATACTTCCAGAGCCCTTTTCATCATCAAAGGGAAGGTATGGCTGGAAAATATGACTGGTCATATTGCTACTGTAGTCAGTAAGCAGGGAGTCAGCAGGAAGTGGGATTGAGCTCTAAGTCTCAAGTTCTCCAATGATAGATTTCTTCAGCGAGGATCCATATTCTAAGGATTCCACTGCTGATTTGGTAAGATGGATTTGTGGGTGAGGACTCCTTACTTGAGAACTTGAGTTCTATCCATGAGGTTGAAGGAGACACTGAAGTGCAAGTTGTCCTCCAACTTTGACACAAGGTCCATCATACTCACATGCACTCATAGAGGAGCCATGGTATCCACATGCATGCACAAATGCACACACACACACACACACACACACACACACACACATNTTTCCACAATTTTGAAGTCAATGTCCCAACTGAGGACTAAATGTTGAGACACACAAATCTATAAAGACATTTCACTTTCAAATTACAGAAGACCTACTATACTGCACACTTTAATAACATCTGATTAATTTTCTGTGCTAATGTCTTCATCTTAACAAAAATCAATCTAGTTGCAAACTTGTTTTGAAAACAAAGTGTAATTATACGAGCACACACATGTGACATGCAAAATATTGTATCTGAAAGGTTTAATAACATTGATTATATTTCAGGGAAAACTATACATGTTAGTATTAACACTTGTTTTTCATTTAAATGACTTTAAGCAGACATTATGTCAAAAAGTTTGACCTAGGAATTATCAGAATAACATTTGAGCATTAACAGCAAAAAGAGTGTTTGTAAATACACATGGAAGTAAGCCACAATTCTCAGTAAAGCACAAGGCCAATGGAAGGAAAGTTTGGGCAAACATGGCCCATGGAATAGCTCCTGCTCTCTTCCTTGCTCCAAAGAATTACCATTTGACTAAATAAACTGCTAATTAAAAAAGAAAAAAAAAAAACACCTGGTACCAAATTAATCTTTGTGAATTGCCATATATTTAGCTGTTAGAAAAATAACCCCTCCACGACAGGAACTATTAGTCCATATTCAAGAGAAATAGACAGTTTACAATGAATTCAGGATTCACATGACATGGCTGTTCGGTACTAGAGATAATATTTGGGCCAGTAAACTCAGTATTTGTTTACACAACAGTCATAGTGTAATCTACTACCAAAAACTAAAATAATGAACTGTGATTATTTTATTAATGACATTTATTTTCTCATGCTTTCCTGATTATGGGATGGATAAAAGTGAATTGCTAAAGATTTGATACTAACAGAATTTTTTTTTAAGTTCATAGAAATGATTCTCCATTGTTAGATCTAGAAAACATCAGTTCTATGAGACTGCTCCTGGTACAACATACCATACTTTTTACAATGAAAATTTTTATGAGCATTATTACACTGGAATAATAATAATAATATAGCATAATAAATATCTAAGCCAATTACAGTCTTATTTTTTTCATTATCAAATACTACACATCGTGTATGCTGTACTCTGGTTTCTCTGTGGCTTTGGAGCCTGTCCTGGAACTAGCTCTGTAAACCAGGCTGGTCTCGAACTCACAGAGATCCGCTTGCCTCTGCCTCCCGAGTGCTGGGATTAAAGGTGTGTGCCACCATCGCCGGGCCTAACAGAAAATTTTGAATACAATATAAAAAACAAATTCTGCATTTGAATTTAATACTTTTAATTATTTCTGTAATTACTGATGACTAATTGATAAATAAACTAAATAAAAAATTGATAAATGCACACAAGTCATAGGTGAGATTAACCAATTTTATATTTTATTTAAATTGTCACATAGTAGTAAGTCAGTGGACAAAAATTTATGTTATTAAATATTTCATTGTAGCAGTATTTAATCAATATTTCTAAAACTGATTTTAGAGACATTATTTTTAACTATTTTCATGTTTCATATTTTTACTATAAAATCACATATGTCCATTATTTTGCATATAATAAACAAAATTTTCCAACATACATAAGCATATATAACTGTTAGTGTCCATCTTTTAGGGCATTTAAGTAATTAATATTTATATTTTTTTTAGTCACTACATATTTTATGAATGCACAGAATAGGAACGGCATTGTTCACTGTTTTGATCTGTGTTACTAGGTCTCCTTCTAAAACTTTAGTTGTCTGGGGAGACCTGTGCATGTCTGTTCAACATATACTCCTTCACTCATATTTCTTTTAATATTAAAATTACTGAAGTTAACATTAGTATCTTTTAGTGGAAAATTGCTTTCTTTTCTATGTTACAGGCTGCTGTAATTTGTGTAATTGTTTATTAGTACCTTTTCATTATAGTTCCAGCTACCTTTCACTGGTCTACTCTTTGATACTTTGCCTTTCTAAAAATTTGCATTTTCCCCATGAGATTATTACCTTTGAAAAAGGTGATTGCTTGTTTTTTTGTTTGTTTGTTTGTTTGTTTTTGTTTTGTTTTCTCTTTGATATGGCCTCTATAAAGTTCAACCTGGTTGTAAACTCACAATTTCCCTTTAATAGGTCTTTGTTTACTGAGAGAACAGTCTGCCTGCATAATCATAGTGGACTGGGTATGTCTGGGAGTAAGAAATGCAACTTGTAATCTCTTTTTTGCAAAGAATGTAAGCTGAAATTTAGTGTTCTAATGCTCTTCCCATAGTCTGTCTTTCTAATATGAATTCTATTGTAACTTCTGTCTAGATCCATGTAAAATGATAATATACATATAATTCACTTAATATACATATTATATGTACAGAGGATACATGAAATTTGAACTCATACGTATGTAGTATTTATCAAAACAAATTATATTTTTTTTTATTATTCTAGAATGATCTTCATAGAGCCATTCAGCGCACACAGTCTGCAATGTTTAATCAAGTTTTGATTTTGATATCTACATTCCTATGCCTTATCTTCACTTGGTAAGACAATTTATAGCAGTCCTCTTACTATTTTGTTTTATTTCAGTTTTTTGGAAAATTGCATCATAAATCCGTTTCAGCAATATTTGGCTAATGTAAAGTATGTTCATCATAATGCATAAAAAGTTACCTACAGAAGTGAAAGAGAATCTTTTTTAGTCTTGCAGACAAAACAAGAAAGCCTGTGTACAAATGACCTTGAAATTTATGGCAACTCTGACATTTTCTCAAATGCTGTCAACAACCAACTCAAGGATTTTGCCTTCATGCCATGGTTATCAAACACCCATTTTCCCTTCAAATCATTGGCATATAAGCAGACTCGGGTTTGTTTTCTTCAGAGCAGAGAGTTTTTGAAGAAATTGTCAATGTCCATTACTCCCCACATGTCTCTGCATAGTTTTTTAGTGTGGGACTTGTTGGAATGCTGTGGCAGGAGTCTTGGCAGTGGATTGTGAAGCCTGGCATTTTGATTAATTGTGTCCTAAGTTATTTTCTCTTTTGGAAATCAGACTTAACATTACAATGTTCTAATGTAACAGAGTATATTGTGTCTTTGGGTTCATGTATATTTTCTTGCAAGAGAAAATTAGTAAAACAATGAGCAGAATGGTGTTTGTTTCACAGGTTATAGACTCTATTTGTACTTATCTATAACATGTTTGGCCTATTTAGAATGAGGAAAAACTAGTTGCTAGTAGGAACAATCAGTCCGCACACACATTGGTACATCTGGTAGATACAAACATTGCAGTCGATATGTGTATGCAAACTTGGGTTTATTATATCTATAAGCTATTTTGTACTAGTATGTGTGGTTAATATTAAATATACTTTAAATGTGTCTATTGTATATTTTGCTCTTTGAAAAGAACATAATATTGTTAATATTTAAATATTAAAATTTGTAGATAATGTTTTTAACCTTTTACAAAAGACATTTATGATACCTCTAATAAATATCTATGTAAATAAAATCCCCAAAACCTCTAAAATAATTTCTTCACACGATACTGAAAACTCTATTAAATTAAGTGATTTCTATTGCAATGTCACTAAAAATTCTTGATCAAAATATAATAGCATATATTCAATAACAATTTTGACCTTAAGTAATTGACAAATTTAAAATCTCTATGCATATATACTAATTTTTCTGATGTTGTGAAATTGCTGAAAAATAAAATTGATGGTTTCTAAATACAATATAAAATGAATTCCATAAGGAAATGCTTATGTGTAGGGGTTGTAAATCAGTTGTACTGTAGCTGGTGACTGCTATATCAAGATAAAATTTGATTTTGAGCTATATAGAAGAGTATTTACTAATAATGAACATTTTGTGCTGTAGTCTGTCTTTGAATACTTTGTCTTACCTGATCTTTGAAACCATAACAGAAGTATAGTTGGTGCTGGAGGGATGACTCAATGCTTAAGAGCACTGTATACCAGCATGTGCTCCCCACCCACCTGCAGCTCAGAACCATCAGTATCTAGTTCCAAGTAATCCAGCACTTTCTACCTCCGGGTCACTGTACACACATGGTCTATGCACACACATGCAGGCAGATACTCATAATTTATTTAAAGTATACTTCTGGTGATGGTGGTGGTGGTGGTGGTTGTGGTGTGTGTGTGTGTGTGTGTGCTTGCGCAAAACTGTGTGCCTATTTATTATAGTTTGTATTACAGCCCTCAGCTTTACAGCAGAAAATTTAAAACATCTTTTATAATTTGAGCCTTGCAAATTCAGGAACTTATATTTAGATGCACTGGTGGTATTTGTAATGAAACTCACAATCTTAAAGTTACCTGTTTTAGAAAGCAACTATCTAGCTCTAAAACACATGTAGGCATCACAATTATTAACACTACAAAGAACTATTATTAAGCATCTGTCTGTGAGGGACACATGCTCAGTGCCAAACTGAAATAAGCATTAAGCTGCTGAGCCATTCTTTCCAGAAAATGTGTTAAAGTGTTTTCCTGTCATTGTAACAGAATTGGACTCATCTGTCCACATTCTGGCTCCCTATCCCTCTTCATCAATAATGCTCCCTTCAGAGACAGCTGGCCATTATGATTCATCTTGCATCTTGGTAACAAAGCAGTTGTAAACTGGTACATCCGGGAATCAACTGCATGACTTTAGCTCAACTATCAATATATTCTAACCAATAATAACTAGTATAATTGATAATGCATTTGCTGTTTCTAATTTTATTTAGGTAGACTTATTTTTCAAGAACCTTGCCACAAATTAATATTTTTGAATTCATATGCATATTTATAAAGTTGTTTATTTCATAGATGTAACATAAAGATCCACACAAATGGATATATTCTGGTTTGTTTTCCATTATAAAAAATTCAATAGACTTTCTCAGTCTTTATCAGTAGGAAAAAATACATTTATTTCTATGTATGATCTAGTACACATAGTTTAGTAGCAATGGCCTTTTCTTCTGCACTTATAAATGATTTTTTGAGTGACATCTTCCTAAATTATTGAGTTTTGCTGTCTTTCTTTCTTTTTCTTTCTTTCTTTCATTTTTAAATATAAGCTCTTGGGATGGGGACTGGTAGAACCTGAGTACTGTAGTTTATGAATCTGTTACAATATGATCTGCAGGTTGGTCACCATCAACAGAACATTTTCTTTTACTTTATACCATAATCAATGCACAAAATACATTTGTCTATAAAGTTAATTACTATATAACCACTCCCAGGATGATGTTGTACTAGAAAAATATAGATAACTTTACACCAATTACATTTTATGTATCTAGCAATCCAGATTTTAGGCACTGCAGTGTTTGAAAGAAAATTCCCAAAGAGAATGGCACGATTTGGTGTTATAGACATGTTGGAATGGGTGTGGTCTTGTTAAAGGAAATGTGTCACTGTGGAGGTGGACTTTGAGGTCACCTCCTGTCACCTGTGAATCAAGATGCAGAACTCTCAGCTCCTTCTTAGCACCATGTCGGATTGCATGATGCTTTGCTTCCCATCATGACTATAATAAACTAACCTCTGGGCTCTAAGTGAGTCAGAGTCATTAAATGTTTTCTTTAAAAAGACTTGCTGTGGTCATTGTGTCTCTTCACAGACATAGAAACTCAACTAAGACAGGCACCTAAATTAGGATTTAGGAAAGTTCACATATACTTATAATAGTATTACAACACATGAAGAAACTTCCATTCTAAATAAAATTCTGATTCAAAATGCAGCATTTTTGAAGTGTGATGACAGTGAATTTTTATTTTTAAACAAATGCTGAGAATAATAATTAACAAGCCAAGTTCTCAATTTGTCCCCAGATTTTAGTGGGCACTATATGTAGTAACATATTTAACCTTTGTGATCTATTGCTAATATTCCACTGCACCATAGTTTTGAGATGAAGAAACTGAAATACAGAGAGATTCAGGAATTTACTAAATTGAACAACTGTGTTATTCTCTCTGAAATGCTCCTTGATTTACTGTGTCCTGTGTTAAGAAAAATAGTACCTTCAGAGCAATAAGGATAAATACAGTATCTTTACTGCCGGTCTCTATGTCTGGAAAACTACTGTTTCTTGCTGGAGAAGTGAACACGGGAGTTCTCCCTCGAGAGAGGCAGGTGTTGTTTTTCATTTTGTGTGTCTTAGCCTCTATGAGAGTCAGCTTTCCATCTCTGTCACAATGTTTGAGATAATCTAAAAATGAAAATTTGTTTTGATTCACTGCTTCAGAATTATTAGTGCGTAGTCACTTGTTGCTTTTGGCTTGTGGCAGCACAGTGTATCATGGCAGGAGTATGTGGAGGAGAAATCCCATTTACAGTCTGTAAATCAGGAAGCATAATATTTAGGATGGGGCTGGGGTACCCAAAATCCCCCAAGACCATGGCCCACTCAATTAAACTCTGCAGTTTGTCCTTCTCTTAAGTCCCACCACATCCCTAAATCACCATGGACTGAGGATCAAGTCTTAAATACAGGGACTTTCATAATCATGTCAGACCTAAACTGTGATTAAATATATTTTTTATTATCTAGTGTGACTGCCCCTTAAGCAACGGATTCAGCTGCTGCAGCCAAGGCAGAGGGGATTATGTTCTCTCAGGCATGGACTCTTTCAAAGCTACTGAGAAATACTATCTTAAGCAAGCTAAAGAACTCACAATTTAAGGTTTAGGTGGAATTCTGCTGCTCAGAGAAGCTGAATAGCAAGTAGCTAACTTTCTCTATTCAACCTGGGTCCTTATTTCGGTTCCCACTTTAAAAGTATTGCTGCTTGTGGTTGCTCCTTACCACTTCCTGTCAGCTACTTGTTGACACAAACTTCTGCTCACAGGTTAATTTTATTTAATCAAACACATCTTTGAATTGTTAACAGAAGCAGTAGGAAAAAAAAGAACACACTTTAAAATAATATTCTTTAATATTCCCCCATTTTTCTAAACAAAAGTGAAAAATTTTAATTTCAACATAGTAAGACTACACAATAAGAATAACTACCAAGTAAAGATTACATTCACAGTGTACTCAATTCCAATTCATTTGTGTCTGATAAATTTAAGGAAAATACTTCACAATACATCCTATCTTAGTAAATTCAAATCTTTTATTTAACTTATTTTCTTTAATATTTAGAGAAAACTGCAACTATAACTGTCTGGTCTTCAACTCTATCAAAGGTACCGGGGAATAAAAAAAATATTTAAGGAAACAAAAACTGCATTGCAAACAACTTCCAAAAACTAGAGAAATGACAGAGACATCTGATCTCTTGGACAGTCACCCAAAATTCCTTTGCAATGTTGGGGCATGCATCTTCAGCCTACAGGCCCATAGTATCTGGCAGAATTTTTAACAAAGTAGGGAATTTGAAAGACTGTCCCACGTATATTGACAATTTGTAAGGCACTTTCCTCAGTGTCCTGAAGAATATCTGGCAGTTTCTTCTGTTAAACAAGAACGCCAAAGAACCACTCTGCCTTCTTTTGGC